TCTGCTTGGGAGGAGAGCCCAGCGTAATGAACATGTCACCCTTTAGGTAAAGAGTACACCTGGCTGGCCCACCTTTAGTAGGAGCCCTTATCTTTAGTAGTTTTTCTTCTAATGATGCTTCCTTTTATGAGACAATTCATACCCTCTTCCCTGGGTCTCCTTGTAATCAATGACAATTATTAATGCATGTATGCTGGCTCCCAGGTGTAAGGTGATTATATTTAAATGGGATTGTCAAACTTGCCCAAGTGTGATGAAACTTTAAGGATCATGCAAATAACCATACTATTATTATGTTCTCATTAGGGGGTATTTATAAAACAATCAAGTTTTGAGAACTTGGCTTTGTTTGGTTGAGAGATTCAATATTGGTCCCCTTTAGAGTAAGAGTCTGTTTATCTTGCTTATCTGAAGTTTGGTTTGTTTTAAATGTTTATATTTATAGATATATGTTTTCTTCTTAATATGAACAGGATTTTCATGAACATTTAAAGTTTCAGCCTTCAAAGATGTTAATTCAAAAATAATAATTTCCCCTTCTTATTAAGAGGACAAATTTCCATACATTGGCTATAATATATGTGTCCTTTTCTTTAGAGAGGTCTAGTCTCTTCCGAGAGGAGCAACTTCATTCCTACTGTTCCAGCTGTCACTTCTTTGTCAATGATTTCTGAAGTTTTATCTCTACATTTAACCTCTCTTCTGAGTTTTGATTCAGAATTTTCAAACAGCTGCACAGTTTCTCCAACTGAATGCCCTTCAGGAATAATATATGTAGTATACTGTCAAAAATTATATTCACAGTTACCCTTGCAAACTGCTCTTCCTTCTGACCCAAATTCCAGGGGCCTCTGGACCTACCACCCAGCTCCCTCTTGCTTCTCACATAGAATAGCTGAGTCCTGGCATGCTCTCCTCTGTGCTCAATTTCCATTTCTGCCACTTAGTTCAAGCCCTGACTATATCTCTCCAGGATTGATGCAATTTTTAAAATGTGTTCATTTTTTTCCCTGATTATAAAAGCAACAAATTTCACTATAGAAAAATTAAAATATAGAGAAAAGCATGAAAAAGGGCAAAGTTATCCATCATTTCATATCCCAGAGGTTACTGACATTTTCTTTTATTTCTTTCCAGTTGATTCTTCATGTGTCCATCTATCTATCTACAGTTTTGCATCTTCTTTTTTAACTTAACAATAACATTTCTCATGTGATGACAAATTCTTTATTATGATAAGTTTAAATGGGGTTGCATAACATTCAGTTATTTTATTTAGACTTTTACAATTTCACTTTTTACTTCTAATTCTTCAATTCATGTCTATATCTATCTATATATCCTTGTCTATATCCATCTATCTACCTATATTTTAATGTACAGTGTGAGGTCAGGAGCTAAATGAATGAAGAACAACTCATGACTATATAGGTGCAGAAAGCCCGCCTAACTTTTCTACAACTCTTGATCTAATTTAGGGAACAAGAAACTAAACATAAAGTTTGTGATTAATAATCCCACTCACTCATTTAGACCAGGGACAAGGTGAACAAGAGTGCCAGGAGACTTAAGAGGAACACTGGAACCAGCCAGTTATTTAAATTTTCTGTGATTTGGTTTTCTTATCTCTAGAATGAGATAATAAGAGTTTTTATCCCATAGGATTGTCGTAAGGATTAAGTTAATAGTAATAAAACATAGTTCAACAGTACCTGATAAATAGTAAGTTCCATATATGTGTGTGTGCTATAATCAGTATTGTAAATATCATTTCACTTTCTTTTGGTGGATATCAAGGCAAGATATTCTGGTTAGCAAATGAAGGTGAAGTTTTAAGTTCGAGTGACCTGGAAATTCTTAAATTTGTCCTTTCTGGGGTCAGAATTGTTCCTGGCATTTGGTAAAGGGATAATACTATGAATAGCTATTAACTGGTCTTAACCGTAGTTGTTAAAAGACCACAGGTAAAAAGAGTCCAGCACATGGTTAGAGTACATGGGTTTAGAACGTGAGTTTGCAACCACAACTGCACATTGGAATCACTGGGGGCTGGGGGGTTCTTCAAAAATACCAACACCTGGGTCCCAGTGTTATATCCCTAGAGATTCTGATTCAATTGTTTTGGGGTGGGGTCCTGGCATCAGGATTTTTAAAAAACTCCACAGATATTTTTAATGTGTATCTCAAGTGAGAATCACTAGTTTACATGAATGTAAAGGAGAAAATTCTTAAATATATGTGAACTACATTTTTAAGTTTTAAGAATAAAACAAATAAAAGTAATGAAATGTATAATTCTATATAAATTAAGGTACCGCATTGGTTCCTGAAGCCACCACTCAGAAAGAATTACGTCGAGAATTTCAGGAGGCAATGGCTCATTTTCCATTAGACTTGCTTTGATTACTTCTTCTTCTTCTGTAAGTTGTACTTCTGGAGGCTAAAAACAAAAATCAGAAAATAGAACAAGTTTGAAAACTCTGTATTAGTCATTGCATGTTCTTATTTGTATGTGGGAGCTAAAAAAGCTGGTCTCATGGAAGTAGAGAGTAGAATGATAATCACTAGAGGCTGGGAAGAGTGTGTTTGGGGGGGAGATGAAGAGAGATGGGATAATGGGTACAAACATACAGTTGGATAGAAGGAATACGTTCTAATGTTCCATAGCACAGTAAGGTGACCATAATTAACAACTATTGTATATTTCAAAACAGCTAGAAGAGAGGACTTGAAATGTTCCCAACACAGAGAAATGATAAATGCTCAAGGTAATGGATATCCTAAATACCCTGATTTGATCATTACACATTCTATGCATGTAACAAAATGTTAATATCACACGTACCCCATAAATATGTAAAAATATTATGTATTAATAAAAATCCCAAAACTATATTTATTAATATAACAATTAACATAAACAGTACTATATTACATAATTGAATAGGATGTAATCTT